AAGGAAAGAATGGCTTAACAACGTTTTTCTGTCTTATCTATTGTCATAATTTCCTTTTAATTTACATAATCAGATAAAGATTACAAAAAAATGATATCACAAACTTCAGATTTAAAACACTGAGTACAGATAATAAAAGGAATTTATTTTATGGAAAGTGCATTAATACTCTAATGTTGTAAATGAATATAAACAAACATTTACCGCTTTACTGCACGTTGTAAAATTTATAAATTCAGTGAAGATAATTCAAGGAAACAAAGATAACATATTATAACTAGACAATAAAGCAATGTCGGGTAATCAAGAGAATGGAAGGAGAAAACTTATTGTAGCGACAGCAAACAAATTGGGGAAAAGAATAAGAAGAAGACGATGATGATGATGGATGATGGAAACAAATATAACATATTATAACTAGTCACTAAAGCATGTTTTTATACCATATGTGTAATAGATACTAATAGTGAGTTAACTCCTTTGATAGACAGCTAAATACCTGCAAGACTGTCTCGACTAAAAATGTGCAAGGGTTGTCTCAAAAACCATCACAATCGTAGGTAGGTAAAAATATTATTTCTCGGTAAGATAGTAGCTCCCGCCAGCAATCATTGCTGCCATGCTGGCGGGTGAGGAGGGAAGGGGCGCAGTGGTCTCTTTCTGTGAAGCTCTCCGGGATCGGCACTCTCCCGATCGGCGGAGACCGCTGATCGGGAGAGGGCCGATCCCGAGGGCCGTCGACGGGGCCGCAGGCTGCCAGAGAGTGGGAACCTCTAGTGGCAGATTAACTTCAAGGGTAGGCGATAGGATAGCGGCCTGGTCGCAAAAATGCGATCGGGCCGCAACATATTATAAGGATTGGCCGATAGGCGGGGGAAGCCTTCTTTCCCCTGGATAGGGCCTGGCTAAGCGCGGCGTCGAACTGGGGGGACCTGACCGTGACCTCCTCGGAGTAGGGCGCCGAGTCTGGCCGTCGAGGTGGTTTTAAGTAGAAACACCACGTACTCCTGGCTCCTACTTCCCCAAGGAGCCAGAGATCCGAAGGGATTTTCCACCCCGTCAACAAAAAAAGGTAAAATAGTACTTGCCTAATTTAACTATTTCTTACCAATAAAGCAGTATCTCGTGTTCCTATTCCTAAATTATATAAAACGGGTTAAAATTATACATTGGAGAATATTTTATTTCGTTTCTTTCGTATTATAATTTCAGTTGGTGAAAATATTTGATAAAGATTTTGCTGCAGCTTTATATCACGATATTAATGTAATTATAATAGTTATATGTAATATAATATAAAATATTAATAAATGTATGTAATTAATATATAATTAAAAAAGTAGTATAAGTATTTTTTAATTATATGTAAATTAAAAAACCAAATACATCCAGAGTTTTATTAAACGCTCTTTTTCTTATATTACAATATTAGTTAATAAAGTAAAGAGATAATAGTACTACTGTGAATTATCAAATAATGTTGTGTTGCACCAAACGCGCGCGTACTGATGTACGTGACACGGTTAGCAAGCGAAGCCGGCCGGAGGGGGGCTCCGCCGAGCAAGTTATGCTCGCGAAGGAGACGGTGGAGCGGGACCGGGAGAGGTTTAGAACTCTCCCGGCCCGCTAGGCCCGGGAACGGGCTAGGTACCGCAGGCGACTCAGGCGCCGGAGGTCGCAGAACGACCTCCGTCCTCCATAAGCGCAGGCCTGGGGGTGACAGGTGAGGCCATCTGTCACCCTAGCAGAAGCAGGCCGTAATGGCGGCGAGCGCGTTGCGAAGCGTGCTCGCTTCCAGGGAGCAGAGGGAACGTGGGGTTTCCACACGGGGGGGATCGTCTACTCGTCTGTAGATGGCCCGAGATATGTCGGGGCACCAGGGACTTCCTTTCTAGGGCATACCTGGTTCCCCGGCTATTAGTACCCGAGACGGCGTGCGGTTTTAGTCGGTTCGAGTCCGACATGCCACCGATAGGTGGTATCCGAGGGGATTCCGCACAAAAAAAAAAAAGGGGGGACTCCGCTATCCTTCATAGCGCGCTCCAGCGTTTCTCCTCTAAGTAGCTGGGTTGACCTACTATTAGTATTTATTATACATATAACAATATAGTCCTCGGGCCCAGGACCGACTTTTTGTTAAATTATTACCTTAGCCAACCTATTCGTATTACTGAGTCAGGCCACATGCCAAGTCTGAGATAGGCACCATTTTTACTCCCCCGCCCTGTAAACACGTCAATTTAATGATAGTATGTTTTTTATTACCTTCCAATAAATTTTCATTCTAATAACAAGATAATAACATTAAATTGAAGAGATATCACTTGTCGGACATAATGGCCGCCACCGTTCCAGCGTCCGACTAGCGCAACGTGTCGAATTTTCGTGGGTATGTTTTTTATTATCTACAAGCTAAAATATATGCTTAAAAATTACCGACGACGAATCCGACGAGGTGAATATGTCGATTTTCAGGTAGTTATTTTATTCATTACTTCTTGTCCTCATATATGAGAAAATACATTTATATTTAATAACAAAAGTGTCCGACAGAAACGAAGCAGCGTATAGTTTGGACACTGGACCCATTTTGTCAATTATTATTTCCACAATTTACCGTTATTATCTTGTAATTAGGACGAAAATTTATTGGTAGGGAATAAAAAACTGTATTTATTTACTACTGTACGGATCTATTTACGACTGTTGGTAAGAACTTGGTATAAATCTTTAATTGTATTTACTGTTGTTGTTATTTACAACAGCTTTTACAAAGGAGAACCACGACAATCTAAAAAATGATTTCAGCTTTGCTGATGTCGCTATTTAAAAAAAAAAACACTTAGACAGCGGTCTGCCGTCATATTAATTTTTGCCACAAGTATATCCATTAAATACATACACATACATAAATATTAAAATACGGTCGGGTACTAGTGTTGTGACCTTTCTGTCAACTTATTTTGAAGAAGATCTTGTGCTTTTTTACGTAAAGCGGTTCGTGAACATCCTGATTTCAACAGAGAGCGCATTCCAGAGAAGAACTCACTGTACATTGAAAGAAGATGAAAGAAGAATTAATGAAAGTAGAAGTATAAGGAGGCCAAAGAAGAAGCATATCTTTTATTGACCGAAGTTTTCAGTCGTGATGTTACCGAAAAAGGTCGTCATTAACAAAAAAAAACAGTCTTGCAAACGCTTGCATAAATTATAAATTTAATATGTATTTAGTTAAAAAAATACCGTATACGCTTGCCATATATTAAATGTGTATTAAAATGGTGTAGGTAATTTATGAAATGACAAGGCTCTGCAGCCAGTCTCTTGCTACATGCGTTCTTCTTTTTGTTTGTAACTGCCCTTGTAACTTTTTGCCCCGCACAACCATTCTGTGAAACGGGTTATCGTCTGCGGTAATTCCGGACCGATACGACCTTCAAACCTTGAGGAAAAGAGCGTACTCCTTCCTAAAAGGCCGGCAACGCGTTTGTGACTCCTGAGTTGCAGACGTCCATGGGCGGCGATGGTCACTTTCCACCCGTCTGCTCGTCTGTCCCCTCTACATAAAAAAAACAGTGTCGTGTGTATCACTAACATGGATAATGAACCCAGGATCTGTTAAATCTAAATCAGGTATATAAGTTATCTTACAGCTTTTCTTTCTCCAAATATAATTAACACTGTATTTTTCAGTTGATTCGAAATATACTTTTAATGATATATCACCACCACAAGGGCTCGTGGCTGACTGGTAAGCGAGTAGGTTAACACATTGCAAAGTTAAGCAATTCTAGCTAGGTCAGTATATTGATGAGTGACTATTTAACATATTGAGACCCCTCCGTGCCTCGGAGAGTACGTTAAGCCTCGACTGCCATAGTCTCAATTGCCATACGAACATCTGAGACAATCGTTACGGGTAGTTAGAGTTCAACAACAGTCTTTCTACAGAACTTTCGTATCGCCCTGTACTTGGGTTGTGAAGGTCTGATGGCAGTCGTTTGGGCAAAAGACTCGGAGGAAGAAGACCCTCAATAGGAGGCGAACAAGTAACCTAATCACCAGATAGTAAGTGAATTTAGCTGCTATTGTGGTGAAAATTGAAGAGAGATTTTATTACTTCCGACGACTTATAGGCGCCGTTGAGTTCAGTAATATATCTAATATATAAAATTCTCGTGTCACGGTGTGCGTGGTTGAACTCCTCCGAAACGGCTTGACCGATTTTCGTGAAATTTTGTATGCATATCGGGTAGGTCTGAGAATCGGCCAACATCTATTTTTCATACTAATATTTGTTCTTTTTTGTTTTTTTTTTTTCAATAATGTATATGGCAAAATAAGGTTTGCCGGGTCAGCTAGTAAACAAATATAATTATGCACATATTAGTTGAGTTTGAAATTTCAGTCGTAAAACGTCGTCAGAAAACGTCAGTACATAGTGTAGTTATTTATAAAAGGTATATAAACTTTTAGAAAATTTGAGTATTAACTTAGAAAGCGTACTAAACCACAATTTTGCCATGAAAAAAAAAATTTTTCTTTGAACTGTATATACATTTAAAATCGGTTTAGTACAAGACATCATTATAAATCATAGAATAAATAATCTCATAACACTATATTTTTGTACTGAGTGAGAATCGAACTCAAAAAGTCTAACTTAGTAGTCAGTATCACGAACCACTAACATACTCGTAGATAGATAGAATTTTACTTTCAAATAGTCGGTCATGCAAATAATAAATATTTAACCTAAACGGGTATTGAATCTGCGACATCAGAAGTCGAACGCGCCACTGCCGCGAAACAAGTGACGTCATAATCTTACGGCTGCGGTAATAAGCTGCCGCAAGTACACTATTGATACCTACTTGATTGTCATTTGTTTTATGTAGTGATGCCTTATCATTGTATTTCCACAGTTCTGAGGCTAAAGACGTTACCAACAGTGAAATAATTTCTATAAAATAATAAAATATAAAATATTTTTTTGTGACATGGGCCTACCAAATAAAAATAACGGAGAGTTAAGTGTTAGTTTTCGTTTGTTTTACTAATGGGTTGATAATGTGGTTGAAAGAAAATTTAAACCTTTTTTCTTAGATCAATTAACTACAATAAATACGTAAACAGATGTGAATATAAGAGATTATAGTTTTAAAAGTAGAATATTAAATTTTTGTTCATAGAGTGGGGTTAAAAAAGACACAAAACCCGTTGAAGATGCTCATATTTTGGATAAAGTTTTAACCCACGTCGGGGACTTCGGACGGTACCAGATGCTGTTGTTTTTGATTATGATGCCTCTGGGATACACTTACGCTTTCGTCTACTTCGTGCAAATGTTCATCACTGCTACACCGAAGAATTACTGGTGTAGGGTTCCTGAGTTGGCTGGCTTGAGTATGGAGTTAAGGTAAGTGTGCTTTTATTTATATTTAATTATTAAATTCAACTTTACTATTGTCATCATCATCAACAACTTTTATTGGTCCACTGGTGGATATATTGCTCTCCTCTAGGTTTTGCTTACTGTACCACGTTGGCCAGGCGGGTTGGTATAGGGTTTGTGTCAAGTTTTCCTTTCTGGGTGACACTGGTGGTGACACTCCGTATTCTTAATCCATCACCACACGGATAAAATCACTAATGTTCTTCAATATTACTATTGTAATTATTAATTTAAACAAACACAAATATTGTTTACTAGCTGACCCTGCAAACGTTGTTTTGCTATTTACCTTATTTAAATATATTTTTTTTGAAATTCTTAAAATCCGTTCTTAGCTGACCTCTACTCGGTGAAAAGAATATTCCTACCAAATTTCAAGTCTTTAGCTCTAATGGTTCCAGAGATATCGTGATGAGTGACTATTTACGTGGAAATCTCTTATATATATACATAGATAATACATGAATAACTTCGTAACTATTTAATATTTATTTACATTCCACATTGTGCATGAAAATGAGCTACCTAAATACCTCATTAAATAGATTAATTATCAGATTTTACAGTTTTTTTATTTTCTATTTTTGCTATAAATTCCGTGGATTTACTTAGATTAAAAACAGCGTAAATAGTGTAGTTTACCATGATGGTTTGTTTATTTATATTTAAGCTGTATTTTCAACATAATTAACAATAATTAAGGAACAAAAATTAATAAAGCTAGCTTAAGGCCGAGGCTCCGATACTCCGGTATTCTGTAATGATTTTCATACGTGTCCACTAATAATGTCCTGGCGGTATTTATAATTGAGTACGGCTTTTGTGAAGTCTTTTTTGTTGAGCCTTCCTTTACAAACGCGATTTTAGTTCTTATGTTTGTTGTTATTCTTTATTTCGCTCTCGCCATCGATAAACTTATAGCTTCGCGTATGATTTGTAATACTCTATCATCTAGTATTAGTCTCTGAAAAGTCTATGAAAGTCTCTGGCCACTTATAATCAAATAATGAAAACACAATTAATGAATTCGAAAATAGAACTCTTTGGGTGTTACTTTTTAATTTGCGAGACTGTCATTTGTTTTTTTCATTGTGACATCCTATCGAAAATTTTGTGTCGCTATCAAAATGAAATTAACTCGTGAACATTTTCGTTCAATGATATTCGTTGTGGCTTAAGTCAACAATAGAGTTGCCAGAGACTTCAATTGGCATTTGGTGATGAAGTAACATGTCGCAGCTCTGTGTATGCGTGGCTTGGAGAATTTAGATGTGGACGTGATCATCTCCATGACGAGGTACGTGAAGGTCGGCCGGCGACTGCGGTTGACTCTAATATTGACACACTAAGACTGGTCCAACTGCTTTGTACAGTGGTTTCAGCGAATGAAAAAATGCATTAATTGCGAGGTAATATACTTTGAAAAACAATATATTTATCGCAGGATCTTAAAGACGGTCTCTTATTTGCCTGCACTTGGTATATATAATAAAACCAGTACTCTAAACAATAATTATCTAATCTTAAAACAACAGAACAAAAAATTCTTGTGTAGTATAGAAGGTAAAGTAGGCCAAAACCTCCTTTTGAAGAAGGTTTTGGAGGCCTATGTCCAGCAGTGGACTATCAAAGACTATTGATGATGACGATGACATAAATAATAGAAAAATATTGTAAATGGTTTTTCTTTATTTATTATAGACACGCCAACAGTATACTCGTACATATACGAGTACAACATTGTTCAAAATGCAGTTCAATATAAAGGATAGTTCTTATATATATACCAATTACAGGCATGCACAGTATACATCATTAGATAGACACACATTCAAGTAGTAGCAAGATAACGATTAAAGTGAACGTAAATTAACAAAAATATAGTACTTACACACAGCTATGTTCCCAAAGTGGTTCAGGTGAACCCCCAGGGGTCCACGGGAGAATCGACGGGGGTCTACGTTAGCGTGACAAAAAATACAAAAACGAAAAATTTACTTAGCAATTGGCAATGCCATTATAACATTGTTAACATACGACGAGTATTTACATAATGAGGTCAATGCACAGCCCACGATTGGCGTGTTCTCTTAGTCGTTAACGATCCTGACTACCTACGCCAGAGGGCGTAGGTTTGATGTCCACGTTGGACAAACAATTGTGTTATGAGTACGATCATTTGTTCTATGTCTGGGTGTAATTTATCTATGGTTATTATATATTTGTCTAGTATATTTATCATTATAATTCTAGTCAAACGGGTTTATTTAGATGTTTAAACTAGGATAGAATACGCCATATAAGCGTCAAACATGTGATAAATTACAAAAAGCAAATTATCTTATTTACTCAGTGTTTAAATTACAACAAAGTTTAAAAATATAATAATAATTAAATATAAAGTCGCTTTTTTCCTTCTACACTAGATCTTTTTAACTAGGCAAGAGATTTAAAATAATAATAATCTTTATTACCGCAAAAATTATACAGTTTACAAGGGTTTACACTTATAATTAGACACAAATAAATGTATTGTGTTTTAGGTACTGATCCTGTCTCCCAAACTAAGCGAAGGCTTTTATTTTGGGCGGCATTTTTCAGTAGTGCAAGTGAACAACTTGCATCCTTAAATGTTGGTTTGCGTATTTTACATGAGAGGTTAAATTTAGCGTAGATAAAACGCTATCACTTCGACTAAACCCGGAGCTTGCGGAGTAAGCAGTGTAGCCCTCCAAAGTGGGCGAGTTACCCACAGCGCCTAGCCAACACTCAGTCAGAAGGATGACGTCAATTTTTATGACAGTCATTGTTAATAATACTCGGAGGTGGTCAATTTTTTCATCAATGCTATACATCCATCAATGCTAAACATCCTGATAGCATTGTTCGCTTATGCGAACAATGCTATCAGGATGTTTAGAGGACTGCCTATTATTCCTTCCTTATGGAAGGAATAATAGGCAGTCCTCTGGTCGGCACACATAAGAGTTTGTGAGTTCAAGTGAGTCTAGTTCTGCGTTGATATTGTTTATGTTCGTCATTGATATTAGAAGTAGATATCAGGTAATGCCATATAGCGCGTTAATGGGGTGTATGGATGTAGTAGTGAGTGTGTGCATAGTGTTGTGATTGTGTAGTATGTAGGTGCAGGAGTGTGATATGTGTGATTTGGCTGTATGTTAGTTAGTGTCATTGATTTGGTTCTTCTTTGAAAATGAATTTGATAAAACATTTTACAAACAATCTTACAATTGTTTTTTAAATTTTAACAGGGTATGTTAAAATTTTACCTCAACGCCTTTCAAATGACTCTCCCCGATCAAAGTAACCTAGTAAGGTGTGGATATGCAGGTAGGGTATGATAGGGTAGGTAGGATATTACAAATCATACGCAAAGCTCTAAGTTTATCACTGGCGAGATCGAAAAAAGTAATTATAATAAACATAAGAACTAACATCGCGATTGTAAAGGAAGGCTCAATAAAAAAGACTTCACAAACGCCGTACTCAATTATAAATACCGCCAGGACATTATTAGTGGACACGTATGAAAATCATTACAGAATACGGGAGGTATCTGTGCCTCGGCGTCCAGACTAGACATATTTCTTTATGCAATTCCAATTACGCGTGTAGTACTAGTAGAACTCACGGTGCCGTGGGAAACGAACACCTCTTAAGACCACACTTTAAAAAGAAACAAGTACTTTGACTTGACCAACGAAATAACTAAAAATGGTTTTGTCGTTGCGTTGTATGCCGTGGAAGTAATTGCGAGGGGTATACAAGGTAAATCCCTCCATAACCTACTTAAAGACCTTGGATTTCCAAGAGCTTCAGTAAGCTCTTTTCTGGAACGAATATCCACTGACGCGTCGCAAGGAATACTCCCTTAACCTATACCTGGGTCGCAAGTCCCAGGCGCTGTCAAAGTCGCATGTGTTGCATCTCTATCACGCGATGGAGCCGGCACCCGCACGGTGAATACATGGAACGCTAAGAAATAGATCTTTAGTGATCGTGTGATGAAGAAGTAAAGATTCAGTATCGGTTCTTTCATGCTTCGGCTCGACCGAAGTGATACCACGGCCTAACCCAGAAAACCGGTGCTAACCATTTTTTCATTGTTTTTCACCGAGTGACGCTCGCATCATCATCACAACAACAGTCTTTAATAGTCCATTATTGGACGTAGGCCTCTTCTTAGAAAGGAGGTTTTGGCGTCCTGTACCAAGCTGGCCAGACGGGTTGGCATAGGGTCTCCCATGGAGGAGGTTGTAGAGACGATCCAGTAATGGATCAAGTCTCCAACCTCCTGGTCCAGACGAACCTGAACCACTGTGCCGCGGCGCAGGATCTCTTCCTGCAAACCATGGCACAGTGGTCGATAGGTGTTGCCGTAGTCGCGGAGCCCTATTCTGTCCCTCCCCGTCCAAACTGGATGGGTGACTGGGACGGCTCCGTGGCAGTCGTCGGTTCCACGACGGCTCATTCCCCGCCCTTGTCGCTAAGAGACAAGGGCACTGGATATGTTGCCGTCGAGTAGGGGGGGATCACCATATATGGTGTCTATTTCTCCCCCAACCGGAGTTTGAACGACTTCGAGGTTTTCCTGACCAGCTTGGAGACCTCGATACGGCGACTAGCGTCTGGGCACGTCCTTGTGCTGGGGGACTTCAACGCAAAGTCCATTGCGTGGGGTTCCCCCAGGACGGACGCCAGGGGCGAGGCCGTAGAGGAGTGGGCGGCCTCGGTGGGCCTCTGTCTTCTAAACAGAGGCTCCACCAACACGTGCGTGCGACAGCAGGGGGGGTCGATAGTGGACCTTTCGTTCGCTACCCCTGTCCTCGCCGCACGAGTAAGGAACTGGTGTGTCCTGGAAGAGGTTGAGACGCTCTCGGATCACCTGTATATCCGATTTGAGCTCTCCCGGACCCAGGTCTCCAGTAGGGGTCACGTGGCGC